ACTCCTGCTCCCTCCCCAGACCTTCACTGCACTATTGTCTGTGTCCATGGATTAAGCATATAGGCATGTAAGTTCTTTGGTTAATCTCTTCCCACCCTACCCCCTTCCATCTGAAATACATCAGTCTGTTCCACTCTTCAATGTCTTTGCAGCTATTTTGTTTGTCAGTTTATTTTGTTCATTAGATTTTACATATAAGTGAGATCATGTGATACTTGTCTTTCTCTGACTGGCTTATTTCGCTTAGCATAATACTCTCTAGGTCCCTCCATGCTATCTCCTGTCTCAAAGTGTAAAATATCCTTCTTTTTATAGCTGTATAGTATTCCACTGTGTAAATGTACCACAGCTTTTTTATCCACTCATTTGCTGATTGGGCTGTTTCCAGATTTTAGCTATTGTAAATTGTGCTGCTATGAACATAGGGGTGTATATATGCTTTCTGATTGGTGTTTCAGGCTTCTTAGGATATATTCCTGGAAGTGGGATCACTGGTTCTAATGGAAATTCCATTTTTAATTTTTTTGAGGAATCTCCACAATGTTTTACATAGTGGTTGTACCAGTTTACATTCCCACCAGCAGTGTACTAGGGTTCCTTTTTCAAAATTGGCATTGGTGAATAGGTAAATTTTCTTTACAAAGTAGCTAACAAAAAGTAGCTCTGTTTATCTCATTCCATCATGGGACAAAACCTTATTAAAATCAATATAAGAAATAGTACTTGAAAGAGCTTTTAATCATATGAGAGGATATCAATGAAATAATTAGCAGACAGGAGAAAAGCAGAATTGTTCCTTTGTTTTTGAAATATATTTTTCCAATTTTCCATAATAAACATATATTAATGTTATAATCAGTAAAATAATTTTAAACAAAGAAATAATATAGATAACCCTTATTCCTAAAAGCACAGGTTTGTTTTTTTTCACTCTTTCTGGTCTCAGATTTTGAATTTATCATCAACTGGCTACTGCACGTTTCTGTTTGGTTGTCTTACTCTCATTTGAAACAAACACTTCTAAAACTAAATTAATTTTTTCCCAAACCAAACTACTCCTCTTGGCATAGTTATTTCTGTCTCCTTTTCATCCAAGTTTCAAACTCTGGATTTTTTCTTCAGTCCATCTTCAGCTACTCATTTCCTCATTGTCTTTTTTCTCCATTGCATGTCTTTGTCACTTGAACTTGTCTCCCTGTGGATTCTTTATTCCTGGGTTCTCTCACTTCCAGCTGGCCTGACATCACTGCTAGAGAAATCGTCCAAAATCATATGTTGGTTTATATCACATCCTTGCTCAAAAACCAACTACATGACTTGTCAGAAAAAAGAACGTATGCCAAGTCTAGGGTAACATAAATTCAAGATGAGCTTGGGACATCTGTGCCAGAAAGCAAGGAAATGTTCAAAGAATGATAAGGACATGTCAGGTGGCACAGGAACTGACTTTGAATGGATGTCCCCAATGGCCATATATGGACCATTTCAACAGCTAAAAGAATAATAACAGTTATGAATTAGAACACATTGAATTGGAACATCTATGAGTCTACAGAAAGAGATGCAGTGGAGAAAGAAATGGAAGGTTTTTTGTGCAGAAAAATGATAATATAAATGCAGAAGAAATGATAGAAAAGCAGCACATTGCAACCAATTATTGTGAAAATTGGTGATCAATGGACATGAGGATCTTCACTGGGTGCTAAATTCATCTGTTGAAATGTCTTTAGGGAACAGGATATGACACAGTCTCAAAGTACTACCTCGCAAATTATTTACTAATTGCAAAGTGGAAAGTGTGCATTTATAGATCTGAAGGAAACCACCTAAACCAAGAGCTCAGACTTACCATCACAAATAGCAGTTAGAGGCCCACAGTGTACCCACACCAATCACGTATTCTTGCCAACAGGCTCAACCCAAGTCCAATGTGGAGAAAATAAAAAAAGTCCAGAATGTAAAATGTTCTACAAGATAACTGGCTGGGATTCTTCAAAAATTATTTAATATACTAAAAAACAAAAAGGCAGTAAGGTATAGATTAAAGGAAACTAAATAGATATGATTTTGTGCATAAACCTTTATTGGTTCCTCTATGAAACTGTAAAAAAACAGCTACAGAATATCTTTATTCTTAGAAGATATGAGCTGATGTATGTAGGGGTGAGAAATCATAATGTCTTTCAAATACTTCAGCAACAAAAATGTGTAAATAAATAAATATAGGTATGTATATACATATACATAAAGAGAGAGAGGGAGAGAGAGTATGCAAGCAAAAGTGGTAAATATTCACAGAAAGGGAGTCTAGGCAAAGGATACATAGGGGTTCACTGTACTGTACTTTCAACTTTTTTGTAGATTTGAAAAAATTTTAATAAAAGGTTATTAAACCTTTGTCTGGAAGGAGGAAGTGCAGAGTCCCTGATCCAGCAGCACTCAAGGCCATGTTCCACCCAGATCCATCAAGCTGCACTCACTCTGTAAGAGAAACAAGGGCTAGACTGTGTCCTATCAACCCTGTCTCCCCAGCATTAGCATCAGGCCTATCACAACTCTCTCCTCTACTCCTCTGCAGGACCCCACTTAGGTCAAACCAATCTACTCTCTCTCACAACTCCGCCTGCGCTGCTCTGCCTGCGAACACTGCTCGTTCTCTCCACGCAATGACAACACCCTCCTCCCCAGCAATCCCGGCCTGGCTGGAATACAAATATGACCATCTAGGCTAACACCTAATATTTCCCCTCATATTACTACATGTGAATATATTAAAATATCATTTACATAAGCAAAAAGCAAGGATCATAGTTTATGGTTCTTAGGGAATAACATGTCTTCAATGACTAAGTATGGATTGATTGGTCACATCCCTTCACTGCATTATGTCTGAGGTGATCACTGTTTTGATGTCAAAATCCCAGAAAAACCATACTCAAAAGTAAATTCAAAATGGATAAAAAACTTAAATGTAAGACATGAAACCATAAAAATCCTAGAGGAAAACATAGGCAGCAAGATCTCAGACATCTCTAGTAGCAATATGTTTGCTGATACATCTCCTAGGGCAAGAGAAACTAAGGAGAAAATAAACAAATGGGACTGCATCTAAGTAAAAATCTTCTGCACAGCAAAAGAAACCATCAACAAAACAAAAAGGGAGCCCACTGTATGGGAGAACATATTTGCCAACAACACATCTGATAAAGGGTTAATATCCAAAATATAAAAGGAACTCATACAATTTAACAAAAGGAAGACAAACAATCCAATTAAAAAATGGGGAATCGGCCTAAATAGGCACTTCTCCAAAGAGGATATTCAGATGGCCAAAAGACATGAAAAAATGCTCAAAGTCACTAATCATCAGAGAGATGCAAATTAAAACCACAATGAGGTATCACTTCACACCTGTCAGAATGGCTCCATCATCAAGTCAATGAACTACAAGTGCTGGCGAGGGTGTGGAGAAAAGGGGAAACCTAGCACACTGCTGGTGGGAGTGCAGACTGGGGCAGCCACTGTGGAAAACAGTATGGTCCTCAAAAGATTAAAAACTGACCTGCCATTTGACCCAGCGATCCCGCTTCTAAGAATATATCCTAAGAAACCCAAACCATCAATCACAAAGAACTTATGCACCCCTCTGTTCATAGCAGCACAACTTACAATAGCTAAGATCTGGAAGCAGCCCAAGTGCCCATCAGTAGATGAGTGAATATAAAAGCTGTGGGACATTCACACCATGGAATACTATGCAGCTGTAAAGAAGAAGGATCTCGTACCCTTTGGGACAGCATGGAAGAACTAGAAAGTATTATGCTAAGTGAAATAAGCCAGTCAGAGAAAGGCAAGTACCACATGATCGCACATATATGTGGAATATAATAAACAAAAAAAACTGATGGACAAAATGGATCCAGAGACACAGAAGCATGGAACAGACTGAGGGATCTAAGAGGGAAGGTGGGGAGGGGGGAGTGGCTGGGGAGAGATTAGTCAGGGAACTTATATGTTTATGGACACAGACAGTGATCTGGAGAAAGCCTAGGGGTGGGATGGATGTGGGGTGGAGAGGATCAATGAGGGTAAAAAGGGGACATCTGTAATATGTTCAACAATAAAGGTAAAGAAACTTAAAAAAAAGTTCCAGGAAAAAAGGGAAGGAATTTAGTAAATTAACTAGTCACCTCTATGGAATGCCTAACAAAAAATCATTTAAAAACTTGTTTTTAGGATCAGGTGGGTTTGGATGAAATGTTCCTTGTTTTATCTGGACACTTTGCNTATGGAATGCCTAACAAAAAATCATTTAAAAACTTATTTTTAGGATCAGGTGGGTTTGGATGAAATGTTCCTTGTTTTATCTGGGCATTTTGTATTGCACAGAGTTGAGTGGGCTTGGACGAATGGGGGAAGGTACCTATCTGATCATTTATCCACAGTATTTCCTTGTCTCATTCTGTGGCACTAACCTCCTCCTTCTGTGTTTAATTTAGACGCTGCTGTCCATGATCTTTTCTGCTCTTGGGATCGCTTTCTCTGGATACTGCCTGGCCATGTCAGCAGTGGGCCTTGTCCAAGGCCCATACTGCCGCACCCCCGATGGCTGGGAATACGCCTTTGAAGGCACTGCAGGACGGTAAGGGACAATTCTTCAAAGCAAGGTCAGGAACACCCGGCTTCATGCTCGTGCCCATTTTCCACGGTCACTGTAGGGTTCCATGCAGCTAGTTTAGTGCAGAATTTTCCTATGTGTTTACTAATCTCCAGACCAATATATTCCTGCACAGATCTTTGTTCAGATGTCTTTTTCTCCAGTCTCGTAAACCCACATGCACTCACTGTTTTGAGGCTCTCGTGGAGATACCCAAACGAAAGGCGTGTTTCGCCCGTGCCTCAGAACAGGGCTTCATGGTTACCGTGGTCTGGCGACCGCTGGAGCCTGCGCCTTGAGTGGTTCTGGGAGGTCAGTTCTTGTTCTGTGGCCAGGTTGGACATATGGTAGGTTACAGATATAAAGGGGCTCAGCTGAGAGAGAATCACAGTGGCCTTGAATGGGGCCACCCAGGGCTATACCAGCAGGGGCTCCACAGAGACCGAGCCGGGCAGGGTGAGTAGCGAAGCGCAGTCTGAGACGCAGACACGCCTGGGTGCGGGGGTTTGCAGCCTACCGAAAATGCGGTTCGGAGGCTGGTGCGGTGGCTCGGTCAGGGCTTGAGAGACCCGGCGCTGGATCACAGAATGCTTCACGCTGGCACTGTGCTGGGCTCACCGACCTGCCAGCATCTACAGAGGCAGCTCAAAGCGTGGCAGACAGGCACACAGGAGAGGGTCACTGAATCTCTCCCTGTCTCGCCCTACGCTCAGAATTCTAACGGAATAAAACCAGGCAGTGTCTGTACCACTCCCCAGGGGAGTTACATTTCTTCTCAGCTCCCCAGGGCTGGCTCTACTGTTCAACACCCACATCTTATTTGAGGTCTTCCGTGCTCACCTAGAGCTGTGTGGCAGAACTGCTTCTGTGCTGCCTTCATTCTGAAGGCTCCACAAGGTGCTACGTCCAAAGCTCTTCCTCAGGTCAGGAGAACCTAAAAAACAACGCTTGGCCTTTCTGAGCACTTGGAGGAGACAATCCTATGGGGTTGAAGGGCTTCAGGAAAGGGACCCTAATGTATCAAGTCCCACTGGGTGCAAAAAAACCATTTTTTTAAATGCCATTAGCCTCTGGATTATCCTCACCCCAAAACCAAAGAAGCCAGTGTGAAGCATTCTGTGATCCAGCAACGGGTCTCTCAAACCAAAACCTTTCAATACAAGAATATCAGGCTGCCCACGTGCCTCCCCACTATGCCTTTCCAGTTGCCTTTGATATTTACATTCACCTGTTTCCAGATTCTCTATTCCATGCAGACCCTGCTGGTACACTTATGACTCTCTATGGTTTACAAGAATAAATAGTACCATAGCCTGGAAGCAAAACAGAAACCCTGCAAGTCATCTTGCTTTAAGTGTTGGGTGATCTGTGCAGAGCATGTACTTGCAACAGTCTAGAGTAAGGATGTTGAAGAGGTTAGCTTCCCTGGTGGCTGAGACTGAGTTAGGAGTAGAAGGGCACCTGAAACGGGTCTAGGGAAATGGTAACAGGAAATTAGATCTGTATTGTGCTTACAGGTTCCAAAGCAGTTTTACATAACTCTCAACAAACAGTCACAGTCGCCTTAGTGTTAGATATTTTAAGTTCATTGTCCAGATAAAACTCTAGAGGTCAGAGGTGTAATGCCCCTTTCCCAAGATCCTACAGGCCAGGAGTTGTGACTTCATACTCAGTGCTCTTTACCTCTTGAGACCTAAGGGTCAGTGGCAATACCAAGAAATTCTCAGAGTGCCTCTGAGTGTCCGAGAGCATCAAGAATAGGAAAGATTGTTAAGGAAGAAATGGAGTGGTGAGAGGGAAAAACAAAGAGGGGAGAGAAAACAAAGAGGGGAGAGAGGTCATGGTTGTGAGGGCAGCCACCACCAAGCAGAATTCACTCCTTTCTACCACAGGCATTAATACCCAGACCCACTTGGCTGGTACCCAGGCTGCCTGAATTGCTTTTTTGAGAAAAAAATCATCTTATTATTGACAATATAGTTATAGAAAATTTTGCCCTGTAAATAGGTTTGATTGTTTTTGTTTGGGGGATGTTTTAAAGACCAGTTTTCCATTTTGATTTAGTTGAACAGAGCATGTGCTATCCTCATAAGAAGAGGTAATGGCCATGGCAGACCTGGAAGTAAGCAAAAATCATCAGGTTGACCCAGTGGCTTTAAAATTATCTTGGAAGTTATTTCATTCTCACAGTTCCGTGCTGAACTAGACTGATCAAACCTTCTGGCCTTTTGCATTCCCTGTCTAAATCTTAAGAAAGGCAGAATAGCAACTCTCCGAAGCAGCGGTCCTCACACTGTGGGCACAGACCAGCAGCATCACCGTCCCCTGGAAACTTAGAAATGTAGTCTCGAGCCCCATCTGGAGCTTCTGAATCCAAAACTCTGCAGTGGGGCCCCACAATCTGCATTTTCCCAAGCCCTCCACAATCCTGATGTAGTCTTAAGTTTGAGAACCACTCTTCTAGAGGGCTGTGGGACAGAGCCTAGGAATTTCTAGCAGAATTTGTCTTTCTCATTTTGCTACCTGTGTGATTTTATATCCAGTGCAAGCTCAGCCCTGTCCCTGAGAGCCCAGGCCACGGGCAGTCTTCACCTCCCTTGGTGTTGACATCTGCTGCCTTTCATTGCTGTTGAATCTTCAGTACATGTCTTGCTTCCTAATTGCTTAGAATTGTCTCTGAGTCAAGCACCATGTTTACAATAAGCATAGCCCTGCCCTACGCACACTATATGTTCAATATATGTACTGAATGATTTTTTTAAATACACGAATTCATGTTTAATAATATTATGTGTTTTAACAATATATATTTGCATCCGAAACATATAAATAGCCTTTCTTGGGCCACGTATGTGGGCTTGGCCTCGTTGGATCTTGTTGACCATTTCCCTCGTCGCTCCCAGTTTCCTTACAGATCCCAGCGTCTGGATGCGGTGCCTTGAACCTGCGCAGGCAGTGCAGTGGAACATCATTTTGTTTTCCATTCTCATCGCACTCAGTGGGCTTCAGGTGATCGTCTGCCTCATCAGAGTAGTCATTCAGTTGTCCAAGATACTGTGTGGAACCTATTCAGTCATTATCCAGGTAACACCCCCCACTGGCAACTGTACCTCACCCGTTTTACCTCCACTGCCCAACATCCAATGGGTTTTGATAAAAGGCTTTTAGAATTCCATCATTTCCGTTCCATCCCTACTGCCCTCATCTTTACTCAACCTCTGATACCTCCCATTTTTACCAATATTCCAGTGGGTTTGTTGTTTTGTCTACATGGACTAAATCAATGGAACAGTAAAATCTACACTCCATGTTATATGATGAGAACAACCCACTGTTTTCAATGAGCAACGCTTCAGTGTTCCATGTAGATATAACCCAAAGCTCAAATAAATATATGCATTTACATGTATTGAGAATTTTCTTGTTCATAAATAATCAAAAGCTCATAACCTTATCTTCTTTCTTTTGAATGCTGGTACATTCAGCTAATAATCCTCTTTATACAGAGTCATTAGTGAGTGGCTTTTAAGAAGCGAAATGTGTCTACATCTATTGGAACTATTTCTGCATCATCTGCTAAAATATTAATGTTAACTTAATTATAATTGAAACTACTAAACCTATCCAGCAAGTCCAGAGTGAAGAGACATCATGCCTGAGATCTTGTGTCTTGTTTATCAACACACATTAGCTAATCCCTTTCCTAGCAGTTTCAAGTAGATATATTCCTAGTCCATGCTGGTTTGATATAAATGGTAAGGTTAAGTTGCTACCTGGATTATGAATCATTCATCAAGTCGAGGTTACTACTTGACTCACGTTGGTTCTCTTTTTTTTACAGCCTGGAATCATTTGAATACGGACAAGAATGTTTTCCATTATCACGTGACGGTCACCTGTCTCAGTCTTTTATTTAAGCTTGAGGACAATATTCAGATGACTACTTGGTGCTTATTGTAGTCATTTGTGAAATTTACAGCCCTCACTAAAGTGCAAATTATGCCACACTTTCATTTAGAATTTTTTTCTAAGCCATGTGTGTCAAGACCTTTAATAATATTTATACCCTTTGATCAAACAAGTCCATTTCTAATAATCTATACTATGTAAATAAACAAGAATAAAAGATAAAACTTTATGCAAATGTATATATTTCAGCATTATTTAATATCCTGGAAAATTAGAAATATCAAAAATTTAAAGTTTAGGGGAAAGATTAAATAAAGAGTGGCACATGAGTTGTAAAATTACAGGGTCATTACAAATGATGTTTTAAAGGTTATGAATAGTGCTATGTGGAAAAGTAGATTACAAATTTATGTTTACAGTAAAAAGCATAACCATCTAAAACAAACAAAGAGCACACCAAATAATCAAAATATAGAATAAAAACTAAACCTAGAAGGATTTATACAAAAATGTCAACTGTGGTTGATCTGGATCCTAATTTTCCAACTTATCTTTATTATGTTTTATTATCAAAATACTTTTTAAAAATTCATATTTTTACTATTAAAATTTTTTCTATTTTTCCAACCTTTATTGAAGCATATGCTTTTTCCAACCTTGAGTACCTGTAAATGTAATAGAATCACACTGCAATCACTGTCCAATGAGGAAAGTAATGAGATAAATAAGCCAAAAAGAGTTTTACATAAATGTGTATAACCTAACTCTGCTCTTGGCATTATTTTCTCACACTTGGTGGTGAGTGTGGTGGGCTACAAGGGATATAGCCTTGAAATAAATGAGCAGTTGAAGACATGTCCAATGGGTTAAAGTGACCACTGACCAATTGATAATTATCATGGGGAGTTGTCACTACTTGTATTTATTTTTTTTAAGTGTATTAAGCAAAACATTGATAATTTTCCTACCTATACATACCATGACCTTCTTGAGACTAGCAGTCATGTTTTATATTTCCCCATTACCCATAGGCCCTAGCACAAAGTAGGCATGGTAGACACTCGACGTTGAATACTCAAACCAGGCCCTTCTGCTCTCTGTGGCTGCTCTGTTGAGTACCTGTCTCCATCATAAGCCCCCTGGGCCTTAACACTTCTGCCACGTCCCCATCACTCTCCTCTGTGGACACTGGCAGCAATGCTCTGCCGGCTCCTGCTCAGTGCCAGCGCCGGCCGGTAGTAGCCCGTAGCCTGAGGCTGCCTGTCTCCTTGGTGCCTGCTCAGCCTACTGCCTTTTGAAAGAGAAGCTGCCCAGCCCATGGCCTTTGCTGAAGGGAGCATCGTGAAAGCAAGCCATGTTGTGTACCACACAATCCCCATGCCCTGACAGAACGGGGACATGGACAGGCTATTGTCACCCTAGTGGCCTCTCACTTAGCCTAGAGTAACACACTTAGGCTAGAGCAACACCTGAGAATTTGAACTAGGATGCCGAGAATGAAGCCACCCAGGCACTGCTATTCGGAAAATTAAAGGGCAAGGAACCGAGTGCAGAGCATCTGATTACTCTCCCAAGCCCACAAACATCATGTCTGATGCCCTCTTCTTTTAGTTCTGTCAGTCCTCTTGGAAACGGACTTCTGACAGGCCAACTCCACCAGTTTGTCAGACACATTCAGATGGTCCCAACCGTGTTTAGATTCAATAGGGTCCCTTACATTGAACGGGTCGTGGATAGGTGTCAACTGAATGACTCCACCACAGAACTGGAAACATTGTCAAAACACAGGGGCACAGTGCAAGGCAATACAGCATCTCTATCAGTAAGTTAAATATTAGCACAGCCACGCAAAATTAAAAGAGAATATGCCAATGATGCAATTTTAAGTAAAAGAGCTCAATACAGTTTGAGCTCAAGTTTTTTTTCAATTTTTTTTTTTTTAATTTTAAGGAGAGAGGA